TGGGTTTCTAATTCCTGTGGATTGGAGAATGTGAAAAGAGTTGAAGAAAATGAGGACATGCACAGAAATAACATCAAAATTAACTGTTACGCTAGAGAAAGTAAATGGCATAGAAGAGCAGAGACAGAACCTCACTCCAGTCCTGCTGGATCAACTTTCAGGTCAAAGAACATGGAACAGTCCTGAATATATCTAGATTTTCTATACCTTGGATTGGGTGTAGAAAATGTTCTCATTTTCAAAAAATATTACCTAGATGTTTTTTTCCCTTTGAGAGTGAATGACTTAATGCAGAAGAAATGGAGGTTCAACAATGGTTCCTAAATGCAATAAAATGAGGTCTTCAGTTGTTAAATGTACAAAAGCTTCTCTTATCTTCCCTTTCCCCTTCCCTGCAGCTGAATTCAATAATCGTCTTTGCTACGAATACTGAAGGAGAACACAAACAACTTTAACACTACCCGGACCTACTCTTTTATTCAGGTTGCATTTTTAATGCATCAGTTGCATTAAAATGTGTAAGAAATTACTTCACTTGTTTAATCACTAAAAAGAAAGAAGGCTGGGGTCAAGAGAGGGGAAACATCTGCTGACTGGAAAGGAAAATGGGGAGGATCCCCACTGCTTTGAGAGACACATAGTACCAAAAGGACTTTGGGGGGACAAATCTAAAAACTATATAGACTTTGTAGTGATTTCTAAGCTTCAAAAGACACCTCCAGAATCTATCACTCCATATTAAGAGGCTTTTTTGATAATTCAGTAGGTATTATCACACTCTGAGATGACCTGTATTGCTGTGACTATTATTACTACTATTTTTAATACTGATAACGAAACTTGTTATCCCAATTGAGCACAGAGGCCAAATGAGCAGAATCCTCCTCCAAGACGAACACCTGCACCTATATACATGTATGTGGAGAAAGTTTCAAAAGGATGCTGTGTCCTCTGTTGTTTTGCCCCATTGGAGTTCATTTAACTGGACACTGGGACTGACAGTGATGATGCACAGCCTGACAGGAGGTGATAGGGGCCCCTCTCTGGCTGGCAAACTGGACCGATCAGAATGCTGCTGTCCTGGTCGCTGGCAAAACTTCTAAGCTTGAATTAGATCTTGAGGGAGCACTTCTATATTTGTACGATAGAATGGGGAAGTGAATATTTCTTTAACTTGGGGATGAAGTATCAAGGTTATTTGGATTTTGGTCACATATGTATAACCTGTTTTATACAGGAATTGATAGATTACCTTCAAAAACTGAATAAGCTGAGAAGTCTCATTTGTTTCCAACTGTGTATCACCCAACAATATAAAAATAAAACTACAAAACAAAAACAGTAATATAAGAGCAGAGAATTACACCCATAATACATGCAATTCCAACTCAACAAAAATGTTAACTTGTGAGCAAGTTATTTCAAGCAGGATATGAAACAGATAATTTGGAGTTTATAGTGCAATTAATCCTGATGCTACATCTACATATGAGTTGTCACTGTGCTGAACACATGCTCCCCTATTTTCTGCACATGGCTAAGTTCTGATGGCAGAAGACCTCACAGATACACTGTGAAACATGTTAGAAGAATACTTTTTCTGTGGCATAGAGCACCAGGAAGGTAAACGATGAAGAAAGACTATGGAAAACCTTATTTATCTGTCCAACTGATCATTGCACATCAGACTGTGAAACTGGCTCCTCCACCTTTAGCTGAAAGGGAAGTAGAGTTCGTGTAAGGCTGAGTAGCAGTTTGAAGGTGCTACTTGCGACAAGATATATAGTTTTATCGAGTGGCCAGATCTTGCTGTACAGAAATATCTGCAGACCAGAAACACAGAGCCCCAGTTTGTGAGAAATGCACTTCTACAGTTTAAAATAATAGACTTTATGTAAAAAATGGCATTTTTAATTCTTGGCTGAGTTCTAGCCTTATATGACTCTACATTTAACCATGGAAAAATGTGTATTTCCAATCAAACGTAAGAAACATTCACTGTAATAGAGTATCTAGTTATACACACTGTGACAAACAATGATGCCTATAGCAGGGATGTGAGTAAGGTAGCGTAAGTGCTCAAGACATATTCCACTTAGACTGGAATGAGAAACTTATCCAACCCTAAAACCTCCATTTCCTTACTGCCTGTTTTTAAATCAAAAGTTATTAACCAGTTCCTGTCTGAAGACAGCTTTCAAGGGCTGAGACATGGCAGGATACTGTTTCAAAGTTTCCAGCTGGAATTCTTGCATATGAATATGGGAGGGCAAAAAGGATCTTGGTGTGTGAGAGGCATTTTCGGATTCTTTCTTGGTTAGCAAATAAAGTGAAGGTAATGAAAAAGTTAATTGAAGACCTTCCCAAAGTATTTGGAGCAGAAATATGAAGCGAGTGGAGGAGAAGAAAAGTGATAAGGTTGAAAGAAACCAAACTATTACCTAACTTTCTATTACAAAGAAAGATCAATGAAGGCTTGGACAAAACAGGACTTCATCTGAGACTCTATTTAAGACAAGGAAAGAATGAAAAGGAAAAATAGAAAACGTTGGAGTGGACTGAAGCATGGCATGCAAACCAAGCCAAGAGCACAAGAATAAATCACATGCCTGTGACCTGAAAAAAAAGAATTAAAAAAATCACAGTATTTATTTTAGGCTCAAGCATATAAAAACAGAAGATAATGCTGCACGGGGCTGCATTATAACTAGCATTTATACACACACACACACACACTCACTTTGGTGGTGCTGCTGCCTCACAGGAGGTTGAAAGGATACCAATATAATTAACAAGGGGTGAGGAACAGGAATATTACCTCTGTTTTCTCCTGTGGGGCAGGACTACACTCGGCGTAGTTTGTGGTCTGATCCTTGAAAGAAGGTGGTATTGAACAAAGGAGCTTCAATGTGAGAGGAGGTATCACTGCAAGAAGGGAAGGCAAAGTAGGCACTCTCACTGTTTCTCCTGTATAATTTCCAGAAGATGAGATTCCCTGATGATCACTGTGAACCTGACCCTAGTGCTCCTTTAGTTCTTCTGATGTTATTTAACCAGTCTTCAAGCCTCCTTTCACAAAGGAGATGTACCTTTTGACATTCCAGATGCTTGTACTCATGAGGATACAGTACACGTATCCTATGTGGGAGGTAAAGAGAAGGTAAAGAGAAGGGGGTTGGTCTCTGAGCATATCCTGTGAGCACAGCTCTATTTGATTCTTTCAAAGATTTTCTTGTTTAGCAAGGAACACAACTAATTCCCCCACATATGCTTGCAGAACTACCTTATGTTTCATTCATTTATTTCTTCCAAAGGATTAACAATAGTGGGAATGAACATCAAGAAAACAAGAGAAAGTTAAACAGCATACTGCTCTGAAACACTCTGGTTAAGGCAGAGAGTATCTATGTTACTGTATTTTAAATAGGGATTTAAAAGGGAAGTAGCATTGACAAGATGATGATTTAGTCCTTTTAACTCCAACACATCAAAGCAAAGCTACCTGGAAATACTCAAAAGAAACAAAGTTTTGCTGAAAAATACCAGATTGTTGACTGTGACCTATTTTGTTTGCAACAACAGCGGTGATATAAACCTCCACCAGAGCAAAGCAACAACTGTAGCATCCCAGATAGATTTGTCCTGGCTTCTGAGTCACTGGGAACCCTGCTTGGCAATTTATGTCATTACCTGCAGAATAAGGGCATTCTCAGTTTGCCTTTTATTTATTTATTTATTTATTTATTTTAATTGGCCTTGGACTGCCAAGAACTGACAGAAAATAAAAAACTCCCACTCCCCAAAGCAACAAACCAACCCCCTCATGTACACATGGTCAAAGCAAGATTTTATGTTGTGAGCTGACCTTGATTTCTTTCTCTCAGTAAAGAAAATATGACTACATTGTTGATACTGGATGTTACTGATCTGAGATCACTTGGGCTTCATCTACACAGGGGATTTACATACATTTTCCCACTGAGACTGAAGTAGCAGAGGTAACATTAGTGGTAGTTGTGAATAAACTCTGGAGGCAAGACCTATATTTTATTTGTCTTTCCAAATGATTTATCAGCTTCTTCAACTGTTAGAATACTTTTCTCATAAAAAAAGAAGGGAGGACAAATCACTGATACTGCTACTTCCACTAAATCCAGCCCAATCTCTCACTTGGGATAAATTGACACAAACACACTGAAAGCAATGAATTAATGTTTATTCACAACCAACCCAGGGATCTGTATTTTCATACATGAATACAAACCCGTAGAGAGAGGAGAACCAGGCAACTGACACTAGATTGATTTTCTCATTTTCTGAGTTTGGCAGTATGTTACACATCCCAGGAGCAGATTTGCCACTGGCCTAATAGTTCCCTACATATATAATATTTCAGAGGATGCTTTGCCTTTACTAATTTAAATATTTGCCCATTTCACAAATCTCAGCTCAGTTTCTCCTGCTTCATTTCCTCACCATTCTGTGGCACACAGTGGCTTACTGCAAATGAAAAATACCAGCCCTGAAAACTGGCAGATGCAGAAGAAAAGCCACATTAAATTATTTTTCTTAAAATTGAGTTTGTACAGCCACACTCACATTCATTGGCTCAAAGTTTTATAGCACTTGTAATTGCAACTATTCTCCCTGGAAACCAGTAGCTGCCACACCAGTTTTCTACAGTGTGCACCTACATGGTTGCGAGCACATCTCTTCTCTGATAATACTTTTATTTTTCTGATAATTTCTCATCAGACCTTGCTCCTAGACACCACTTCCTCAGAACACAATATGAAAATACCAGCAAAATTATTGAATCAGTATCTGAAAGCTTCCTTGCATGTGTTGCCCACAGGGAAGCCTTTTCATTCTTATTTGCAAGTGACATGAAGAAACAAAGTTGGTCACAGCTACTTGATACGTGATTAACAAAGTACATGCTGCTCCAGTGTGTTTGAACGATAATAATTCAATTTAAAGGTATACATTAGAAGAACATGTTACAACTGATTCTGTGCACTTTTAATTGGCTTAACAACCAGGTTTACAGAGAGGAGGTGGAACCCTTGCTGAGATGTTCACTCAATACAGAATGACACAACACCACAGACTGTCAGTTATCCAGAATAAATCAGAGTTGTGTAGTACCTTTCTTTCTCAGTGTTCCTTTCTAATCCAAAATATTCCCCTTGCCTTCATATCCATCCATTCAAGTACTAAAGGAAGAAAACTTATCCCAGTGGACTTGACAATGTGTCACAAAAACTTAAAAAGAAATAAATAAAAGCATAAAGCACCACTCATTTCTGGTATTTACCACAACTTCTCTTCCCAAAATGCACGATTACAGATATTATTTTTTTGAAAGAAAAGTATCAACAATTTCACAACTAACATAGTTCAGTCATCATCAATATTACACTTTTGCTTGGTATCTCATTAATCTGGTGTTACTCACCCTCCTTCCCCTGAAGTATGCAAAAAGTGTTATTATGACCTAGTTGTTGTTTTAACTGTTGTTAAAAAAGCACGTCAGTAAGTTCTCACATCATTTTTGGCATCAGTTTCCACACTTTCTAAGTCTCCTTTCCACTTGTGTTCACTTCAGGGTCCATAGTTTCCCTCTGGCTAGCAACACCCGTGGTTGCAGCTCCATTTCCATATGAGTCACACATGCATTCAGGGTGGACATCTTACATGGGGAACTGTGGTGACTTGGCCAGATCGTTAAGTCTTCCTTTTTCACCCTGCTCACATTTTGTGTCTTTCCAGAAAACTTACAGTAGTAGAACATACATAAAATGGGCACTCTGCATTTTAAGCAGCTTGCAAGATGCATTTTTTTTCCTCATAGTGAAATGCTCAAGCTGTGGGTTGAGACAGAAGACACATCAGCCAAGACTTTCAGGATTAACTGGCAACAGAAGTGGAAAAACGTAGCAGCTTGCTTTCCACCACCACCACCACCACCACCGCCCCCCCCCCCCCCAGGATAGCAGATTAGGTGATCTGTTAGGCCTTATCTATCTTCTAAAATCTGTGAATAGCAAGTAAATCTTGCTTTCATGTTTTCTCTGCATCAAGCTCAACGTACTTGATGACCAAGGAAAAAATACCACCTCCAAAGCCTTAACACATTTCTACATTGAACTTAAACTAAGAAATTGAATTTAAACTAATAAGATAGCTCATTTAATCTTGATATTTTGCATTTGAGAGCAACACATATGGAGTTCTATGACTGAATAAAAATTTCTAAATTGCTGCCACCTTAGAGTTTGCAGAATTCTGCAATATTCTAAACCGCAATGTAAATTACTTAAAAATATTCCCCCCCCCCCTTTTTTTTTTTTGTCAAAAACAAGTCAGAGTTCATGTTCCTCTCTGAATATGTAGATATAACAGCTTACAAGGGAATATGCACCTGGCTTTGGATTATGTATCAAAGAATCCCAGAATTTACCATCATGCTCTTGCAAACAAGGTTTGCTAGTGGACATAGCAGAGATGTTTTCTGAGATCTGGGTGCAAACCAGTTCCACAGATCAAAATATTGAAGGTTAAGGGAATTTCTGTAATCTAAGTCTGAATCCATATCTGAAAATACGTAACAGGTACTACAGTGGAGAAGCTGATTCAAATAACCAAAAAAAAACAAATATATATATATATGCTCCTTTGAATCATAAGAAGTCCAAAACCAAAATCAAATCCATACTGTCTAAGATGATCTTTAAGTGTGCAATTATTTCAAAGGAAGTTCAAGGTGCTCAATAGCTCTGAAAAAATCACATCCCACACTGTACAGTACACAAAGTGCACATATTACATTCTGCCTTTGGAATTTTGAGAGACAATCCCCAGCATAGACTGTTTCAGATTCCATCCAGTATAATCACATCAGTTTATATTATATTAGTTTCTCAAAAAGCATTACTAGTTAATAATTTTGTACTTAAAAATACAGGTCTTTTACTGTTTTAGAAAGTGGTATTAGTGGAATTGTGGGGACTTCAAGAAGAAAAAGCAGCTTCCAGTATTTTACACATAAAAATAAAATAAAAATAAAACGGAGAACCATTAAAGTTTAATTCTGAACATTCAGCACTGTATTTTCTTAATTTAACCCCAACCTTCTCAATGTATTTTCTGCCATCAGTTAAAAACTAATTCGCAAACAACTACAAACTGAACACTTCTTTCAACCAAAGAATTTACCTGCGGAGTTTCCTAATTTTCTAGTCATACCTGAAGGCTGCCAGCACTGTCATAACTTACATCATCTGAATGACTACAATTACTTGTAATGCCTTTCCTTTATTTAGCAGTCCTCTCTGAAATGATAGCAACAATTCTTAAACCCTTACTGTCATTTGAATGGATGATTGTCAAGGACACACAACTGCTCAAACTCAAAGTTCGAAAAGGAAGGAAATGGAGTGAACAGCCTCCAGTGAGAGGTTCCCCCCAAACAAGCCCAAAAACAGAAAACGTAGAATTCTAACTGGAATTATACTTTTCCTTCTCTGCATCTTTGGATGAGCCTAGCTCTTTCTAATGAGCAAACAGGAAATAAGGGAATAGCAGCCTTGTAACTCAGGTATGCCAGCAAAGTGTTTACATTCAAGAAAAATAAAAACCCACCCACAGATCAAAAGAGGTGGCAGAAGGCAGCCAGGCCTAGAAGATTTTTCCTTCTTTTCTACCAGATACAACCTTATATTCTGCCCATCCATATCAGGTGTATATTACTTAATTTTAATGTCTTTCCATGCCCAGGGATCAAGCTACCTGTAAGGTATGTGTTATGAAGCAATACAAAGGGTAATAGATTTCACCCAAAGCAATATATTTCAGACATATGTTCATGGATCTATCCTGCAGTCGTAGATATTAGTTTAAACATCTAGGCTTCTTACCCGAAGGTCTGATTATATTACCATTTTGTTTCATCATATCCTTTCACCATACTCACTCATGTTAGCTCATTCTCCTCCCCATCACTGTCTGAAGTTATGTTATGTCATCTAATTAAAATATTATTTTAATTTCTTTCCACCTCAATGCATATTCCCTACTTCAGGTCCTGAGAAGGTAGCCTCACCTGCATGAAAATAGTTAAAAGAAATTCTATTTTCTCCTCAACCAGCTAAGTAAATATTTGCATTTCTTTACAGAAGTAGTCAGGGGAAACAAAGTGTTTTGAGAAGGATGACAGTCAAATTTTCTTTACGTTAAAATTTGACAGTTGCCTATTTTTCCAGTGTTGTGCCTGTAGCTGTGCATGCCACACTATGTATTTAGTTTACCACATTTATCCCACAGCCCTACTATTTTAGATTTCACGTGGGTTCCCAGTCACGCCAATACTTTCCCCATATTCCCATCTAGTGACATGCTGAAATCAACAGAATGTTCCAGAAATGCAGGAGCCTGAGCTGCCTTACCCAAATACAGCACTGACACTTCAATGGAAATCATACTGCAACCTTAATTACATGGCACACTTGGCACAACCGTTAATAATGAACGCTTGCTTAGTTATCCATTGAAATTATTGTTCAAGCAAGTGGCTTCTACTACCTCCAAATGAGATTTTGGAAATGAAATCCATCTTACCTGTTAGTTTTTAACTCAAAAATTAACAGACCAAGCCATCAAATGTTTACTTGATGAGAATTTTATCCTTTGGAAAAAGACAATAAGACAAACGGTCCAATACATCAATATGCTGTGAAACTCAGGACTAAAATACTGTTAAGCCCATTTAAAAGTTGACTTCAAAAGTACCTTCCTACTCCTATGTAATACAAATATCACAACCTAAAGATATAGGTGTTTTTCTTTACAGATATTTCCAACAAGTTTAGCGTGTTGCACAGAATACAAAATATGCCAAATACAGCATGAAATACAGAATGATGAAAAATGTTTTTATTGAACACATGGACTTTTAGTGCATGGATCTTGACTAGTTTTTGAGTTTACATATGCACACAACCTATTTTTTTTTCCTGCATGATATGCTCCAAGTATCATATTGTAGTGAAAAAGTAGAAATATACCAATACTGCCTTGTAACTTGAAGGATACATTTCATTATGCAGGTGCCCATTTCCTCCTTATGGATTTTAATTAATTAATTAATCAATTTATTTATTTATTTATTTAACTCCAAGGTTATCAGAGATCTTTAAATACAAGACCTTCATTCATTTTTTCAGATTTCTGGCTTATTTCCTGATTCAGGAAAAGTCTATACTAATTCAGGTACAAATGAAACTGCCAGCAGGCTGCTGTACTTCTTATACTGAGCAAAATACATACTCTGACTACAGCTTTTTACTGTTATGAAATGGATTTCATAACACCAATAAGGAATTTCAGATGTAATAATCTTTAGGGATTATTGCTGAACTTCTTGGGTGGTTATAGCTGTTCAGTCTCTGTGACTCCACACAATCTAAGCAGCACTCTGCATACTCTGCAGCGTTCTTAGTAGGTATTCGCTTACATGGATCACACCACATATTGGTGGGTGATGCAGACAGCCCACAAAAGCAGGTGTTCTCTTTGTCTCCTATTCCCAAGAAGAAGTTGCATACCTCTTGCATCACATCTCCATGAATCTGTTGTTACCCAGCCTCCTCCCATCTTGCTGGGCCAACAGAGGAGGGAATCAATTCAAAAACTGTTGAAACCAATCTCAAAGGATCTTAAAGGATTTTTTTTTTTTTTTTTGGGGGGGGGGTCTTCTATTTAAAGATGGTGCTGGAGCAGGAGAAGGGAGGTGACTAAGAGTTGTTCGAATGTAGGTGCTTTGAAAAAGTAAACTGGATTGATTTATCACATGAATAGGGCTTACATGTCTAACTCTTTAAACACTTCAGAAATATTGCTCAAGAGATTTTCATGCAAAGCAACTTTACTTTGTTTTGGGCAGTGAAAATTGAATCATTCCAAATTGTACGATGTTAAATGGGAATTGCTGTATAGTTAGCAAATTCCTTTTTCTGAGAGGAAAGATATTCAGAAATCTTAGGCTTGTTTGAATATTCCTCTATTCAAACCTACCTCAAGGTGAAAGGCAGCTTGAATGTAGCCTGACCCACGCTCAAAACAACATAAAGCCACTGCATTTTTGTTATTTTTCTCATGTTATATAAGACTCATTTATATGACTTCTGTCAACTGATATGTGTTTAAAAAGACTCTTGGATTTAAGTTGTTTACTAGGAGGATTCTTCAGTTGGTTCTTCCATCTCAGTGCATTTCCAGTCAATTTGCTCACATCTATGAAAAAGTAAATGCATGTTGCCAAAATCTCAGAGTTAACCATTCCAGCCAGGTCACCTAGGGGTCATGCAGCAACAGAATGATCTTAAAGGGGCATTTGTGTATCACTGTGAAAGGCCCATACTTTTAGAAAATGATTACAAGCTCTGATTCATGACAGCTGCAGGCAGCTGGGTTAATTTTCTCCCTTTCTCAGCTTGATTGTGCCCAAGAGAAAGAATCTCTCTTGCATTCTCTTATCTCCAGCTAAATAAGATGAAATATTTCTCAGGCAGAACAAATAAGAATTAGATCTCTCTAATGTGCTGCTATAGCCAGGTTGAGCCCATGCCCTTTCAAGAATTCCAAATCAAAATTCCCTATTTCAGAGGCTCTCCCATCTTTTTTCTTTATTTTTTTTCTTCAGTCTCACAGAAATATTTTTTTTGGCATTTTAAGAAAGTAGGATAGTTTTAAGTGAACATATCATGAGCATGTATCCATTTCACTCATCCAAAATCATGGCTGTTACTTCCAAGACTCCAGATAGAACCCAAAATGACCTGCTTATGGCAGAACACTTTGAATTCTC